CACCGCATAATGATTCCCCTCGCAGCTCCTTATTGATGTTTGTAATTGCATTATCTCATAAAGGGAGGGGGTGGGGGCCGCGGTGATCAATGGGGCCGCGCCGAGCACGTCGGGGTCAGGGGCTGCGGGGGGCGGCGGGGCCCCCCCTGTCCCCCCCCCGCTGCCAACAAGTCCGGTGCGCCTGGAGCGGGGCCGGCCCTGGGGACCCCCGGAGCGCGGTCAGGAGAGGGAGGGAAAGGCCCCAGCTAAGGCAATGGGAGCGGGGTTACAATGAGTGGGACGGGGGAAAAAAAAAATAAAGGGTTGGTCAGTTCTTGCCCCGAATCACTGCTGGGCCACTACCTGCCCCGGGGGGAGAATCTGCGTTCTTCGGGAGCTGTTTCTGTCGAGCAGCGCCGCGCAAAGCCTCAAAGCCATGCAGCAGCGCACCGAGCCGTGCCTTCTGCGCGCCCTCCTCTCTTCATCTGCCCTCTACCCCCACTCCCCTTCGCCCCACGGAGATTTCTTTTCGCAGCGCACCACCACCAACCCCTCTCCTTCCTCTCCCCGAGTCCCGCGGAACGAACTCCGCTCCATGCTCCCCGAAGTGACGAAAGGAGCCGTTCCCCTCCGTTCTCTCCGCAAAACCCCGCATTGGGGGCTGCGAGGCGAAGGGTGCCGAACCCTCAGCGCTGCACCCCCGTTCCTTCGCGTTGTGTTTTTTTTCCTCCTCTTTCGCCCGGGGATGAGGATCGGTGCTCCCGTCGGGCTCCACCGGAACGCCGCTCCTCTGTTCCGGCACAAACAGCCGCGTTTCCGAATTAACTTCACTACAAGTCCGCTTTTCCGATGCCCGGCGGTGGGGCGCTGAGATTTCAGGTGGGAACGAACCCAACGCCGCAGTTCCCTTCTTCCCCCCATCTCAGGTCCGAAGGTTCTCAGCTGGGCTCTTCTTAGGAAATAAACAATACCGAGCGCAGCGGCCCACGGTTAAAAGAATGAGAAACGGGTCTCGTTGCAGAAATTATTTATTTGTAGAACGAAGATGATTGAAACATAAAACAACAACAACAACAACATCAACAAAACAACAACAACCACACAAACTGCAGATGCAACAAAAAAAAAAAAAAAAAAAAAAAAAAAAAAAAAAAACCCGCCGTGATTTACGATTATTAAATCTTTGATTGCCACGTTAATGTTTCTTTTTCTACCTTTCATTTGCATTTTAATCTATCGAATCTTTACAATTCCGCTGCCTCCAACCCCGGTGATTGATGACACCTCTGAAAAGGGGGAAAAAAAGCGCAGCGTTCCGGGCGGGCTCTGCTCTTCCCCCCCCTCGGCCGCTCCCCACCACGTTCACGCGGGCAGCGCCAATTAATTACGCCTTTTTAAATGTCAAAGGTATAAATAAAAACCCCCCCCCCCTCCCGGCCTTACCCTTCTACCCGAATGGGGATGTTTATTCCGCGCCGCTCGGTTTAAAGCAAGGAGGGAATCACCCCGCTAAAACGCTATGAGAAGAAACATCCGCGCTGCTCCGCGGTGTGAATAAATACGGACGGACGAAACTTCACCTATGGAATAGGGGGGAAAGGAGAGCTGAGGGCGCAGCTCATTGCTGTTTTTCGCCACTATGGCCGCCCCCCAAAATGAGGGTGAAGGTGTCGGGGTGCGGGCAGCCTGGAGGTGGGGTAGGGACACCCACAAAGAGCTCAGGGCCATCCGCTGGGGGGGTGGCTCAGAGGGGACATCCAGCCCATAGGGCAGCACCCATCCGGGGGTGCCCATAGGGAAGCTTTGGGGCTCCGCACCTGCGGCCAGGGAGCGCCTAGAGGAGGTCGAGTGCTTCCTCAGAAAGATAACGACAGCAGGTTCGACCTAAACGCTCCCGCCAGTGGCTGGTCAGCGCTTTATTTATCGGTGGGAGCGAAGGGGAGATGTGAGAACCATCTCCCGACCGCAGCCATCGGTTTCTGTTAGCACGGTGCTACGGACGAGACCTCTCACACGGAGCCCCAGGGGGTGGCCCCTTCGCTCCGCTCTGCTCTCAAGGTGAGCTGAGAAGTGAGAGCGGCCCTCGGCCCTCCGCTGCGCCCCAGCCCTGCCCGCAGCCACGGCCACAGCTCCGCGCAAATCCCGCGCAGCGCCGTCTGCCCACGTCGGGGAGCGTCCCGCTGCCGGCCCGGCGAGTTGCCCGTTTCTCTTCAAAGGCCGATCGCCTAATCGTTTCCAGAGTTTAAAAGTCACGAAGCTATATGAAAGAAAAGCGGTTTTCTCCTCTCCCGGTCCGCCGCACGC